ACATCGCTCTTATATATAATAAGATGCCCAGTTCTTTTCTTGAAGAAGGAATTAATTAAAGTAAGATTAAAAGTCGACAAAAATTTTAGGATGAATTTAGCCTTTGTGTTTACTGTTGGACAAGTGACTTCAAGCACAAGAGGGGGTGAATTGTAGTATAAAAAATTTATGATTAATGTTATCCTTTCTGAATCAAGATTGTATTAGTCATTTTTAGGTGAGTAATCACAACGAAAATAAAATAATTTCAGAAAATAAAAGGATATACCTAGAAATATTGCACCAGAGATTTATACAGGTTTGGTTGTATGTTGGTGTAGTCCTGTCCCTAAGAGGTCTTCTTAAGAGTTTTACTATAGACTTTGAGCTTTTGAAGGTTATTCCCATGAACCTTGATACAAATTGATATTGAAATTTTAACATGCTTATCCCCAACCAAATAACGACTTTTAACCCCAAACTAAACTATCAAACCATTTATAGATTTTTGGTTGATCTCAATAACCAAAACAAAGATTTTTCCGGCAAAGCTTAAGAAACCAAGAACATATATTTTATGACAAATTTATCTCAAGAACTAAGCTCAATCACTTAAAGGTGTCTCACTTTTAAGAATATAAACGACCATCATGACGACTTACAAAAATATCTTCCTCACAAGTAGAGTTTCACTTAGTAGCATTAAGGTAATTAAAAGTGAATAAGAATATTTTCTAAAGAGTGGGAGATATGTAAATTCTAAATAAATATGAAAACATTGTAAAATGACATGATTTGAAGTGACAGTGTGCCTCCATCGATTAGTAAAAAGCTATAATCAATTAGATAACTCATTTACAATCGATTGCCAAACCCAAATATGAAGGTTTATATATATACATATATATATATATATATATATATATATATATATATATATATATATATATATATATATATATATATATATATATATATATATATATATATATATATATATATATATATATATATATATATATATATATATATATATATATATATATATATATATATATATATATATATATATATATATAGCCGTTATAAGTCATTAATGTGTTATCCTTATTAATTTTGTAATTAATTGGCATTCTTGTAATCGATTAATATTGTGTTCCAATCTATTGGCTGGTTAGAAAAGTTTTACCAATCGATTGACACATTTTCAAATTGATTAGATAATTAAAAATAGTTTGAAAAAAGTTTCGAACAACTTTTTAATCACTTGGTTCTGACTTAGAATTTGTTTAAGGATATAAACATTTTGAAATATGTTTTAAGTGTTTGTGTATGCGTGTGTGCGTGCGTGTGCGTGCGCGTGTGTTTCTTTAGTACTCTTAAGCTATTATCTTACTTTTATTGCAATACTCGATTCACTCAAACAAGCCGCATACATGACCTAGAGAGCTTTCACACATTTCTCCAAAGAGCTTCAAGACTTTTGCTAGATAGTTTCAGATTGTACAAACACTTTGGTATTTATTCCTTTTATTGATGAGTCATAAGATGCTTTCGTTATTCTATCATCATCATATATGAAAGCTATTATCGTCATTAAAACTTCATATGCATATCTTTATCATTTACAAGCACATAGATGCCCATTTATCTCCTCGAGACCATACCCTTCATGCACTCCCTCAAAACTTATTAATACACTCCCTACATGTTCACTTAGATCCCCTCCTATAAAAATATTCTCTTCTTGAGAGGACTGTGACACGTGTCACTGTCCTGGCTTGACAAGAAAAACATGCAAAGCAAAGGAAAGAGGAGTTATGCGTTAAACAACCATCAGAATCTCATTTCATTTCATTTTTTCTCCTTCATCATCTTTGTTCTCTGCAACTAAATTTCCTCGCTCGAGATCGCACAACCCACCAGAGAAGACGGTGGCAGGCGGTCGGCCACGGCGATGCCGCCACCCTTCTCCGGCCAAACCTTAAAACAAACTCTTACCCCCCCTAAACAACCCTTCTGAGTTCGAATCTGGGCTCAGAAGTTCTAAAATATTACTCAAACACCCTAAATCTAACAAATCCTAGAAACCTTAAAACATAAAATCAGCCCCAAATCAACGCAGACAAAGAGGGGAACGAAAATACACAATGAAGGACATTCAAAGGCGACAACGAGGAGCTAAAAAGAAGAGGAGAAACATGCCAGGTGGAGACGTCCGTTCGTGCTCTGACAAGACCAAATCACGATTTTAGATAAACTTTCCTTTCTCTTTTCCTTCTTTTTCCTCTTTAGATACTCATGCGGTTCAGTTAGAACCTTGATTGATAGAAAAGAAAACCTAGGGTTTCTGGTGTGTTTGATGTTCTTTAGTTCTGATGTCAATTTGTTTTGGTTTCTAATGTTTTTTGGTTTTCAAAAATCCTCTCCTCCTCCTTCTGCCTCACTGATAGAATCTTCCTTCCTTTTGAATGAAAAAAATCTTGGTCTTTGATTCTGACTCCTTGGTTGCTGTATTATGAATTCTGCTATGATATTTGTCTCTTTCAAATTTTGTGTTTAATTTTTTCTGATAAATTCTGATACACTGCAATTTTCCTCTTTTATGAATTCTGAGCATTGTTTGTTGCCCCGTGTTGTATTGTCTCTGTCTTAAATTTTCTACACATTGGAATTGTCTTGTTGCACTTTGGGCTGTTTTGAATTTGAATTTTTGTGGTACATGAAAATGTTACATAATGTGCGATGGCTTGAACAAGTTATGTGACACATGAAATGTGATGGTTCTTATTCGTTTTTCTTACATTTGTGGTGTGACTTGAACTTTGGTTGATGCTTGAAATGCTTTGAGTTGGATTTGAATTTGTCACTATTTTTGGAATTGGTTTTGACACGACTTTTGGAATTGGTTTTGATGGTTGAGTTTGGCTTTGGTTTTGGTTGTGATGACTTTGACATAGTTTGGTTTGAAATGTTTGGTTTATGATGAATTTTGAAATGGTTTAAATTTGATTGTTCATTTGTGGTATGAATTTTGGAATGGTTTTGCTTGAATTATTTTGTGTTCGATCTTGATTGGTTCACTTATGATATGAATTTGGTTTTACTTGGCTTTGTGTAGGTTGGCACGCCGTGAATTTTGGCAGGGGTGTTTGGAGATTGTTGTTTGGCATGACTTAAAGATGATGAGGCATGAAGGCGTGAAGCATGGTGACAAAGACAAGGAGTGGCATGATGATGAAGACATGGTGATGCGTGATGGCGTGAGGCATGATGATGAAGGCAACTTGAAGTACCAAATTGTAATGTGCTCCATTGTATCAAAAAAATGTGCTTTAGGATATGAACCAAACACTTGTAATTTAAACAATGACATTTATGGAACATTCCTTGTTAGCACAAACTTGCAGCTTCAACAATGAAGCATTTAGACTTCTCTTGAATCAAAACAGACTTGTACTTTAAATACTTGAAAATTTGGAACCTTTTCTATTCTATTGCGACCAATTCTCCAAATTAACAACATGATCACAAGATATCTTAAGCATTAAGGTGATGAATCACATACACTTGCATGAATCAGGCAAATGAACACCTTAAGGATGTGAGTTGGAAATGAATAAGTGGCATGGTGAAGAATTGGTAAAGAAGAAAAATGCAAATGAGTTTTGATATTGAACATAGATGAAGACAACAAAAGGTAATTTCAAATTAAATGAAAAAAAAACCTTAAAAGTGAACATGGATGGAAAGACAAAGACCATAAATTTCTAAACCAAGTACTATATTTCACAAAACATATTCCAAAGCAAACACTCAAAAACATCACCAACAATAAAGAAACCAAAGAAACCAAATATTAGAAAAGTAAATCACATTTCTAAACTAAATTAATAAAAAAATCTAAATAAACTAAAAAACTAAATGAAAAAAAAACAAAGTAAACTAAGAATACCAAAAGGGTACAGATGGACAAAAGCAATGGACAAAAACAAATGACAAAATTTAGGATATGGCACTAACCATAACATCCACTATTTCCATAGATTTTTAATTTGAACATATATTCTAAGTTTCAAACCGAGTCATGAGCTAACTTTTTTACCCCATACCAGCTCAAGAAATTGTGAGAACGCTTACTTATTTTTTATTGCATCCAAACAACGATGCAATAATTCTTACTCTTTTGACACTGTACTTGAGTCTTACAGCGCGTTGCCTCTAGGAAACAATTAACATTTACATTATTACGTAATTGATTCATGTCATGGAGATTCAACAAAGTTTTACGTTGATTGTCAACTATTAAAAATAACATTCTCCTTTTATTTAAACTTGAAACCGACCATGCATGACAATGCTAACACAAACAAGATTATAAAATTATAGTGAATATAGTATATTATTTAAATTTATTGAGCATTTTATAATTAAAAAAAATCACATTAATTATATTTAAAATATTTATCAAATTTATAATCTAAATTTATACAAATTCTCATATTTTTTAACAATTTTTTTTAATAAATTTTTGATCAAAATAAATATTAAGTATTTTCACATCACAATACAAAATCTTTTTTTTTCTTATTGCAAGGATAATTTATGCAATTTTAAAATAAATAAAAAATGAATAAAACCAATGTGCTTATGAGCTTTTCACCGTTTGGGATTCTAATGGTAATTGGTTTCTCCATATGCATTAAACCCTAACTAAACCATTCATTTCATCTCTCAACTTCTTGTTTCCTTTTCACAGTTTCTACATCTACCTGCGAATCAAGAGATCGATAAAAATCAAGAATTTATCGTCGACAAGGTAAAAACCTAACATCTCTTTACTTGTTTTTGTTTTTAGTAATCTTTCCGTTTTTATGATATTTAGTTTTAAGAACTTGTTGTTGACAAAGTTCCGCTTCTGAACTTTGTATGATTGTGAAAAGGTTTAAGAAATTTTTATGATATTTCCGTTTCTGGACCTTGTATGATTGTGTTGAGTTAAAGAAATTATTTTGGGGTGAATGGAAAACAATCCCTTCCATGAATTTGCATATGAGGGAAAGAGTGAAGTGGAGAATCCAAAGAGGGTGTTTTTGTCTCCTTATTTTCCGTATAAGGGAAATAGAAGGAACAATTTTTATGATTCTTGTAGTTATAGGAAGGCGTCGAAACATTTTCGGGATGTTGAAGAGTCTGAAGTGGACAAATCCCATGGTTCGTCAAAACATTTTCGGGAAGTTGAAGAGTCTAAAGGGGGCGAGTCTTGTCCATCAAGGAAGGTTTCAAAGTATTTTCTAAAAGTTGAAGATTCTAAAGCAGACGATGCTTGTCGTTCTAGGAAGGTGTCGAAACATTTACGGGAAGTTGAAGATTCTAAAGCGGGTGATTCTTGTCGGTCTAGGAAGGTGTTGAAACATTTACGGGAAGTTGGAGAGTCTAAAGTGGGTGGTGATTCTTGTCGTTCAAGGAAGGTGTCAAAGTATTTTGTGAAAGTTGAAGATTCTAAAGAGGACGATTCTTGTCGTCCTAAGAAGGTGTCGAAACATTTTCGGGAAGTTGAAGAGTCTAAAGTGTGTGATTCTTGTCCTTCAAGGAAGGTGTCGAAGTATTTTGTGAAAGTTGAAGATTCTATAGTGGACAATTATTGTCCTTCAAGGAAGGTGTCGAAGTATTTTGTGAAAGTTGAAGATTCTTTAGTGGACAATTCTTGTCCTTCTAGGAATATGTTAGAGGAAGTTGAAGAATCTAAAGCGAATTATCAAAAGAGAGTGTCTCCTTGTCCTTCTAGAAAGGTTAAGAACAATTGTACGAAGAAGAGTGTGACAGGTTTCAGAAAGTGTGTTAAGAAGAGGAAATGTGAAGGAACTGGATTAACTGAAAATTTGAAAGGCGAAGATTCTTCTTGTTTGGCAAAGATCTATGAATATTTAACTAAAGTTGAAGAGATTATAATTAAGGGTAGTTTATTACTTCAAAAGGTCTCTGACTCCTCTAGAGGAGGGTATAAAGCTGAAGAAAACTGTATGAAGGATATTAGTGATTTTTTAAATCAATATGTAAACCGTGGTAGGAGTGTGTCGATTCTAAGAAAGCGTATTAAGAAGAGCGAATCTGAAAATTTAGAAGAGCGTGATTCTGAATATAGAGCTATAGTTAAAGAGGCTAAAGTTAAGTTTGAATCGTTACTTGGAGTTATATCCAAGTCTTTTCAAGAGGGGCCTAAAGTTGAAGAGGGTTCGTCTCTTCCTCCTAAACTGAAATCCAAAAGTCGTGGTAAAAAAACTCAACCTTTTCTTAAGGCTGAGAGATATAAGGAAGCTTACAAAAGAAAAACTCCGGAAAACAATTGGCTGCCTCCGCGTTCTCATTGGAATCTCATTCAAGAGGATCATTTTCATGATCCATGGAGAGTGTTAGTTATCTGTATGCTACTAAACCGAACTACTGGCGCACAGGTACATTCCTTATGTTTTATGCCCGTGTTTTCCTGTTGGCCCTGGCCTTATTGTATTCTGTTTTCTATTTTGCTTCAGAAGGCTTAACTGCTATAATGCCGTCTTTGAAACTTATTATCTTAGGGTCTTGCTTAGGAAATTATGATTAATAATTTTCGTCTGAACTGTTGCTTCTATTAATGTTGAAAGTATGCACGTCTTTCGTGTCGGTTATGCACTTCCCTTGTCTTAAATCTATCCAATGTAGTCACACAAATGTGTCACACGAAATAGCCTTGTCAGCCCCGATTAGCCCAATGTACTCGATTAATAGTTTTTTGCTGATCCGTTGCTTCTTTTAGAAAGCTTGTTGATGACTTAATTTCGTTTATACAGTGATGTTTTCCTATCAAATTAGTCCAATGTTCATGTGATGCTGCTTGATGTTATTGGAGGGAATGTCAACGTCTCGATGATCACACTTCAAGTGTGAAATTTTTACTTTCGTTGTCTGCAATGTGCTAATAACTTTTCTGCTTTTGTATATATCCATCCGATTTTAAGATAAGTAAGCTTATTTTGCAAAATGCAGACAAAAAAAGTTATAGACGAGTTTTTCAAGTTATGTCCGGACGCAGAGTCTTGTATGCGAGTATCAAGAGAGGAGATACAAGAGGTAATAAAGACATTAGGTCTTCAAGGAAAAAGGTCGGCAATGCTGCAACGCCTTTCTTGCGAATACTTGTCTGATAGTTGGACCCATGTAACTGAACTGCATAGTGTTGGCAAGTATGTTCTCTTTTATCATGTGTGGATTGTATCGTTCCGATCGAGGTTTGAATAACATGTTAAATGCGGTATTTGAATCAGGTATGCGGCAGATGCTTATGCTATATTTTGTACTGGAAAGTGGGATCAAGTTGTGCCAAATGATCACATGCTCAACAAATATTGGGATTTCCTTCATACATTGCGTATTTCACAAGACTGCTGCTGATGAAGGGAAAACTCGTAGTTTTGACAAAACAGAAATTGGTTTTGGTTTGTGAAAACTTTAAAACATAAACAAGAGAATCACCATGTTCAGTTTGTTTTCTGTTTTGAAAGTTAATTACAAACCAAAATTTATTTGGTATTCTTTTTTGTTTTGTCCATAATTTTTTGGCCTAATGTAACATGATAATTAATATCATTAAATTTTTAAAAAAAGTTTTATAAAAACAAACAAAAAGATTCTACATTTAAGATTAAAGCTAGTATAACGATCAACTTCAAAAAAAAAAAAACTAGTGCATTCAAGTATATGTTTTTTAAAGGTACATCTGTTAATATGATATTAAAGTAAAATCTATTTTATTAATAACAATGATACTATTTTTTATACTCTTAAAACTCTAAAATTATAATCATAAAAAGATAAAATGAGTAAATGGAAAAGATTTATGTCCTATTATTTAATATGTACTTGTTATATGATATGAATATTACAAATAAAAAAGAAAATCAAACTAATTGTCTATATTTAGCATATAATAAGTACATTAATTTAATACAATTAGTTATCATTTTTATTATAATTAATTGAGAGATTATCGTTAAATCGGCTTAATTGATATTTATGTAAGAGAATTTGATTGGAGAGTGCCAATTTAAATTCATGACATTCTATTTTCACTTTTAAATTAAAAAAAATTTGTTCATTAAACAAATAGACCAAAAATAATAATAATTAAAGAATATTAAGAATGGTATTAAAAATATTTTAAAATGTTTTTTAAAATGTGAAATTACAAATACTAATTAAGTGTGTAACATAAAATTATAAATATAAAGTGTTTGAATTGAAATCAAAACAAGAAAATGAAATATTCTTATAAATCCTACGATTACATTTTTTTAATTCTAATTTCACAATTAGATACCAATTTTTCCACTAAATAATTTTAAATAATTAATGTTATTATTTCTATATCCATGTGTTAATTTTTTTTTAAGTTTTATTTCGATATTTTTTTTTTATAATAACTAATTATTATATTTTATTTACCATAAAAACAAAGTATTCAAAATATTTTTTAAACTGGCTATGAAATCAACCTTTTGTCGCCGAATGAAATGGTGACAGAGGCCATTCTGAAGCAAATCGTCATGCTGATTGGCGACACAACATTTTGGAATGGAAGTCGCCATTTTGATTGGTGATATAGTGACTATATTAGGGTTTGCATTTTCTGTTCTTTTAATTTCTAATATTAATTGTTTTTTTATTAATATTTTCTATAAAAAATATTAAATACGTTTTTAATCAATGTTTTAATTTATGTAAATATTTTAATAAATTATTTAAGAATAAAAATATAATTGAAATCAAATATTTAAATACATATTTAAATGGTAATAACATTAAGTTTGTTATTAAATTTATAAATATTTTAATAAATATTTTAATTACCTATTAATAAATATTTGTCATTAAATTATGTTGTTTGTTTTTTATAATGAATTGAAATTTAAATAACCTTAAAATAATATAGACATGTAAAAAATATTAAAATATATTAATTTACAATATAATGACAATTACAACTAAAAAAAACTAATGGTCGGCTCTATCCAAGCGACCACCGGTGCCACACTGCGGGGGATGCGCATTGCGATGAGGTGTACGACGAGGTTGTTGTGGTGTGTCTGGTCGTTGTGTGTTGAGTTGTGGAAGAGGGTTTTGGTGGGACAGCCCCGACGTATTAGATAGATTTTGCAGCATTTGACCCCAATAGTCGGGAGGTCCACTATCAACGGCACTTCCGTAGTTTAGCCCAATGTCCATGTTTTCGTAGGATTGTCAGGGAGGTTGGGTGGAGTATGGACGGCATGGTTGTCCGAATTCGTACATCGAATTGGGTTGGAAATGGTGTGTTGGTTGTTATGGGGTGTGGTAGTCAAATAGTGGATAGTTGGAGGGGTAGTTGGAGGGGGTAAGGTCAAATGAGTTGTCTGGGCTATAGGTGGAGGGGGTAGGCTCAAAAGGCGTATCAGGGCTATAATGATATGGTGGTTGAGGCTGGGACTGGGTGGGTGGCATGTACGGGTCATGGTAAGGATGTTGTTGTTGATGGGGGGACATTTGGTGGCATGTATGGGTTATGGTAAGGCTGATTTTGAGCACTGGACTGTTGTTGTGTGTTTGAAGAAGAAGCGCGCTGCCTTAGGTCAACCAAATAGGTTGGCTGGGATAGAAATGGCTGAGACGTCGTGACAGACCTAAACCAAGTCATATATTGAAGACTTGGCCTAGCCTCGTGCACGATATGGTCGGTCAAGACGTGATGCCTTCTTCTCTTCCAGTGTTTACAAAACTCCTTCCAATGACTGACACTCCACTGTGAGTCCACCCGCTTTTGCTTTTGATGCCACTGCCCCAACTCTACCGGAGCATCTGGAATATCCTGATGCATCCCAAATTGTAGCTTCACCCGGTCACTTTGGTGCATCTCCACCGTAGTAAACCTAATTATGGGTGTTCTTGATGTCCACACAGAATCATCATTGGGGTCGGGCTGGTGGTCGAGACTATCGTACGACATCCAGACAAACTACAATAAAGGTGGATACATTTAGTCAGACAGAGATAGACAAGTTTATTCATATAAGTTAGACAAATTAAAGGTAAATAACTTACATCATCTGACCTAAGGTGGTCAATGAGGTTGCGGTATTAAATTATAGAGTGCCTGGAACATCTCTGATAATTCATCCCTGGAACAGACCACCTAAAAAAAAGAAACACATATAAGTTAGCATCTAAAACAATAAGGAACAAATTATTAACTTACAAAGAAAATTTGGTTGCTAAATAATCTTGATAAGAAACTTACTTGTTGGCGTACGGGAATGTAAAAGGATTCCGGTTTATTGGAGCAAGCGTTGACATCCTAGACCAACCCCACGCTTGTAGGAGATAGGCACAACCATAAAAAGTACATGAATTTTTTTTGGAATTTTTGCAAAGTGCGCTATACAGATGGGCGAGGACAGCTGATCCCTAACTATATTTGCACACTTTGTTTATATTTTGTAATAATGGTAAATACATAATATTTACGCTATTTCCAATTCCCTCTGGAAATAAAAAGTGACCGAACAAAATCATAATATAGCACCGTGTTTTGACTATTTTGTCATATTCGGTGCTATCATCAGTTAAGACAATATTGTTGTATTATTCTCTAAGGTATTTTAGATTTATTCCCTGACCCCTCGGGCGGCCCTCGCTTTCCGCCTGAGTTGCGTCCACACAAAGAGGGGCGCCCAATAAATCTTCACAAAGTCGGTCAGGGACACCAACTTTGCCGTTGACGGCCTTACCATCGATGTGTAGGCCGAGCAACATGTATACGTCTTGGAGAGTCACAGTACACTCACCAAAAGGTAGGTGAAATGCATGTGTCTCCGGTCTCCAGCGTTCTAACAACGCTAGAATAAACTTCATATCAAGAGAGTATGATTTGATTTTGATCAAATCACCAAACCCACAACCATTAAGGTACCCCGCTATGAGGGGGTCGTGTGGTATATAATCATGCACACGACATCGAAACCTTGATGCATCCTGTAAAATAATTAATGTTTCGTTAGACAAGAACTAAAATAATTAACATTTCGTTAGATAAGATCGTAAACATAGATAAGAACTAAAAACTTACAAACTCGGCGATGTTTTCAATCGTGCCTCTGTGAGAGTTGCCCATGGTAAGGAAAGACATTGTGGTTTGAAATGTTGAGATGTAGAGATGTTGAGAGCCTTAGAGTTTGAGAATTTGGGAGTTTCAGAGGTGAAGACTTTGAGGGTTTGAGAGTTTGAGAGTTTAAGTGTGAGCAAATTTTGTTGGGTAGAGAACCTCTATTTATATTCCACGAATGAATGTGTGTTGTAAATGCATGTGGGCAAGTGTCCTGATGCATGTGTTTTGTAAACGCATGTGGGCAAGTGTCCTGATGCATGTGTGTTGTAAACGCATGGGTGACAAGTGTCCTGATGCATGTGTGTTGAAACGCAGATTCTTGCATTGTCTTGTCTTGTCAAGCATGCTGCATGCAGGGTAAGAATCTCGTAGGTCTGCAGGGTAATTTTAGGCATGCAATGTCACATGTGAAACGCAGAATCTTGCCCTGTCCTTTCTTATCAAGCATGCTGCATGTCATTGATTTCATATTAAGGCATTAATTTTTTAGGTTGTGGGTTTGTTTAATGAAATACGTATCCAAATACATGTAATTTTGGAAGAATATTTATGCCACCTCTAAAAATTGTTAAATAGATTTAATTGTTAAATAGATTTATACTATTAGAGTCTTATTTATGTAGGGTCACATGTGAAATGCAGATTCTTGCATTGTCCTGTCTTGTCAAGCATGTTGCATGCAGGGTAAGAATCTCGTAGGCCTACAGGGTAATTTTAGGCATGCAGGGCCACATGTGAAACACATAGTCTTACCCTGTTCTGTCTTATCAAGCATGCTGCATGCAAGGTCACATGTGAAACGTAGAGTCTTGCCCTGTCCTGTCTTATCAAGCATGCTGCATACGTGGTCACATGTGAAACACAAAGTTTTTCCCTGTCCTGTCTTATCAAGCATGCTGCATGCAGGGAATCAATTCACGGGATAGATTTCCAAACACTCAAACACTCAAACAATCAAACTCTCAAACACTCAAACACTCCAACTATTTAATAAAGTCTTTAAACTCTTTAAACTCAAACACTCAAACTCTTTAAACTTTATAACTGTCAAACTCTCAAACACTCAAATACAGTCTTTCCAAACACAATTTTCGCCATGTCTCAAACACCATAATATATGATTTCCACACATCTTAACGGTGAAGTTTTTGAATGTGAAATATCGGGTTACAATTTCAGAAACACTGATGTTACAAGATTTTTAATTGAGAAGGTCTAATTTTTTAAACTTGAAGTTAAGAATAGAAAAAAACTG